GTTATACACAATAGACAACCGAGAAAAATTGTAAAACGATACAGTTCTTGTTCTTTAGAGCTTATTGTGATTTAGCAATTACATAGCACACTTATCTTTGACCATCCATTCAAAAATAAAGAATAGTAAGTGGATTGTTTTTAAGGTTAGACTCGCGCTGGCCTCGTGTACGGTGACTTCTTGCTATTATCTCTGGCCTTAGGAATTTTTAAGGTTAGAATATCGTGCCTTTAAATCATGATTCTGATATTTACTTAAATGGAAATGTCTGAAACAACTGTTATTAGTTGTTATTTCCCAGGATAAATGAGACAGTTGTATTTTCATCACTTTGAGAGCCAGGTTTAATAGGGGCAGGAAGGCCTTAGTCAGATAACTTGACCAAACCCAGACCTAGCAGGAGCAGCCAGTGGGCATGGGAAGTAATTCAAGGCCAGGTTATAGAACATCCTAGTGAGACCCAGGTATCATAATTCACAGGACTGACATTTAAAACCAGTTAAGTGGTGACATGGTTTTTTGTGATTAATCCTTTCAGAGAAGTTATCCAGCCAATTAATCAGAGAACAGCCCTCTGGTGATGCAAGTCTAGCCAGTCAAACTGGGATCCTGTTCTACTTTACGCCAAAGAGATGTGGAATTCCAAGCAGGAGACAATCGTAAGACCTGGGTCAATGGGAGTAGAGTTCAGGAGGAAGGTTGCCAGGAGGTGAGTACACCCCATGAATGGTAAAGCGGTTCTTCTAGGCAATGAGACAAATTCAAGGTGCAGCCCTCTCACAGGATGGAGCTACCTGTCCCGGTCAAGGCTGAAAGGGTTAAGCCCATCGGTGAAAGCCACAGATGAACTTGTGGTAAGCAGAGCTGAGAGTGAGATGCCCAACTCAGGAGATAGCAGGGAGAAAGGAAAAAGGACCAGAAGGCGAGAGGCCAGGAGAGCCAAAGAGAAACATAATGAAATTTGAAATTTTGCCCAGGACCAGTGTTGGTTAATTTTGTGCATATTTTTGTTATCGTACTATAGTAGTTAATCATCAGATTTTTTATGAAGTTAAGAGAAAAAAATAACTACTAAGGAAAGATTTGACAAAAGGGAAAGTTTTTTGTCTTTCTTTTAAATCTTTTGTCAAGGTCTTGAGTTCTTTTACGCAATGATGATAGGAGAAGAGGAAGAAAGAGGATAGTCTGTGCAACTTTAAATCAAAACAATTTTTTCTTTTGGGAATAGTTTTCAGCATTCTAATTTTTCTGAAGACTAAGTGTAAATTGGTCTTCATGCATTTAGGTTTATATTCATTGGCACATTGAACATTCTTAATTCATTCATTCTTTCACTTATGTCTTATGCTAGTTAGTGGTAGCCGTGGTCACAAATGGAATTAATTTCTAGTTAACTTATTTTTATTCACATACAGCATAAACAACACAGTGACCTTATTTCTTCCTCTCTGCAATCTACCACAATTTACTTCTCCATGAAACATGGTCTTTCCGTCACTACTAAGTGCTTCCTGTCCAAACCAAAGTTTAGCTTATTGTTCTCCTAACTAAATATTACAGCATCTGCCCAAACTACTCTGTGTTTTCTTCTTCTTCTTTCTTTCTTTTTTTTGTTTTTTTGGCTACTGAAGTAAGTGTCCCATGCTAAAAAGCAGTGAAGCACTTTTTTTTTTTAAACAAAAATTAAAAGTTGTTTATATCTTCATATCCTTTGGATATCACTGAAGAGACTGTATCATCGTCTCAGTCTTCTCTCTCTGCTTCATCCATGTCACTTCTTTGCCTCTCTGTACCCTACCCCACCAGAGTCCCTTTTGATCTGCTTAAGATCAAGACTTGGTACCCTCTTAGGTGAGGCATTATAAGGCAACGATGTCCCACATTCAGACTCTATTGCACAGCTCGTATCCTATATTTACTCCGTGCTTGGCAGGGAAGGGGGTGGTGGTTGTGGTAATAATGCCACATTCAAATGTCCACATTCTTCTTTTCTTATTCCTTAGTAAACGGATATGACTTTGAATTCTCAGGGAGCATTTTCTTCTTAAATTCTAGGTTTTTTTTTTTCTTTTCTTTTCTTTTCTTTAAATCTTGTTTTAGTAATACGTTGCAGTTAAAATATATAGGAATAACTGCTGGCAAGATCTTTCCTGGCAGAAATGGCAAATCTTCCTTTTCTAGCTGTTGCTCTTCACTGATGATTCTGTATGCTCTTCTCTTCCACAGATTATGAAAACTGGCTACCACCAATTCTAGACTAGTCATTTGTTTCCTAAACAAACCCATCAAAGATATCACCTCTCCCACATTTCTTACGCACAGAGGGCATTCCCCTCTTTTAGTTTCTGGAGGTATGTGTCATCCCTCAATTGAATCGCACCCTTGAGTTCCATGCTCAGGACAGAGTTCCAGGCAACAATTTCAATTCTGCTTAAGCTGTGGACAAGGACATGGCCTTTGGTGGCTGTCAGAGGTGATGTGTTTTTTAATGACAGGTCTGTAGAAAGATCTCGGGGATAATTCGGTTCTCCAGGTCTCTATCATCTTTTCTTTTAAATTCCTGACATTTAAACATTTTCCCCTCGTGTCTTCTTCTTTATAAATTAACAAGGAAATAAAACAGACATTTTAATGGATTTCTTAGGCAATTTTTATATGGCATGTTTAATATATTACATGCATTTTGCGTTAGGTCTTGAAATTAAATGCATTGGATATAAACTGAATTGGGGTGTCATTCTTTTGTAATTCAGTGTTTAAGTCTGGTCCAAACTTACATTAGGATCACCTAAGGAAGTCTATTAAAAAATGCAGATTTCTGGGCCTACTCCAGATCTACTGAGGCAAACTTTCTGTCAGAAGGTGTTAGGGGACCATTGATTGAAACCATCCACCTTGGCCAGGAACGATGATGACCACCTGCCTGAGTTGTGTCACAACAGGAGGTCCCAACAGGAACATGGTGTGCCACCGAAAATTAACCAGGAGAATTCGGGAGGGGCCAAAAGAGGGAGGAGATGACCAACCTCCCAGAATTCTTCGCACTGGAATCCACCTTGGCTGAGAGATGCGTGCACCACCAGGAAGGACCCTGAGTCAGACTATGGGCTAAGCAAGATGATTGGCCAGAGACAACCTGGAAACTAACCCCATTACCATAAAATCTGAGACTGAGAGCCACTTGGCAGAGCAGTTCTCTTGGGTTCCCTTACTCTGCTGCTCTCCATCCGGCTGCCCCTTTCCAATAAAGTCTTTTGCTTTGGCAGCACGTGTGTCTCCTCGGACAATTCATTTCCAGGTGTTAGACAAAAGCCCACTCTTGGGCCCTGGAAGGGGTCTTCCTTCCTGAAACAAAGGTGCCAATAATATATCTTCTAAGATTAATATATATTATGTAAATGATTACATTATATAACTATATAAGAACTACTATGTATATTAACAATGGTCCCCAAATGATTCTTATGAAAAGTTAAACTTTGGTAGCATTAATGAAGTCAAATTTATCATTCAGTCCTAAGGCTATTCACCACTATTTCCCTTTTTAGCTATACAGGAAAAACAAGGTGGACAGTTGAGATGGTTGATAATTAACTTTATAAGAAATACTGAGAGAAATAAAGATAATATTCTTGTTGCCATGTGGTGTTTAGTTTGAATTATCCACAGAAAAACCTCAGTTGGGAGCATTACCTTTCTTATGTATAAAAATGAGTTAAAGGTCAGAGGTTAATAGACTGTCTCATTTACAAAAGATACACAAGAGCAAAACAGGAATTAGAATTCATAGGCTGACAGAAATGCTGGGGCTGGCCCCTGTGGAACCATAATTTATTTTGTTTGGCTCTGAATTGAAAAGAGTTAAAGGGTAAACCATTAAGCTGTTCATTAGCATTTGTGAGCAACACCCCGACTAACCTCCAGAGATGCTATTAAAACAGTAAGTGTGGTTGGGGAGGAGGAGAGTGATTGACAGTGCTAATTATACTTGAATTAACACTTGAAAAATGAACCCAATTTGATCTAAAATTCTCTAATAATGATAATAATAATAAAATCCCCAAGATAAATCTTCCACGGTACACTGACATGTAGAAACAAACCAAACACAGGAATTTTAGGCCTTTCAGATACAAAGACAAGAGCCACTTCCATTTAATGGGTATTTCTATATGCATTAAAAAGTAAAGACTTCCCTGGTGGCGCAGTGGTTAAGAATCCGCCTGCCAATACAGGGGACATGGGTTCGAGTCCTGGTCTGGGAAGATCCCACATGCCGTGTTGCAACTAAGCCCGTGCACCACAACTACTGAGCCCATCTGCCACAACTACTGAAGTCCGAGCACCTAGAGCCCGTGCTCCGCAACAAGAGAAGCCACCTTAATGAGAGGCTTGCACACCACAACGAAGAGTAGCCCCCGCTCGCTGCAAATAGAAAGCCCGCACACAGCAACTGAAGACCCAACGTAGCCATAAATTAAAAAAAAAAAAAGTAACATGGAAACTACATACTTTACCCAAAGTATGCATAATAAGGAATTACTTACGTCCATATAAAAAGGCTCAGAAAAAAACTTTGCTTCTCATATTATGATATACAAATACTTTGCTTCTCATATTATGATATATAAATAAAGTCTGTCCTTTTTTTCAATACAAGTCTATATATTAAACATGTTTAACATACGCTATGTAAGATCTACGGGTTCATAGTGAACAAAGTTAATATATTTGTTCTAAGAACAGAACTAAATCAATATAATAAGATTCTGGCTAAATTTTCAAAGTTTAATTATATTAATGATTATATAGAAATTAATATAACAAGACCTTTATTACTATGCTATTTTTGCTCAAGAATAAGGAAATGAAGAATAACTTTAGCTCCACAAGCGAGGTTTAAAGATCAATATTAATAGAAACAATTATTTGATTGCTTTTCTGCCTCTGTAGGTAGACTCATTTATTCATTTATCCACCAATTAGTCAACATGTATTAATAGAATGCATACTATAGGTTAGATACGGGTGGTGGTGCTACAAAGTGAAATGTATTACGATGCCTACTTTTCAACTGAGTCAGTGATCTGACAAATTTCAAGTAGAATGGAGCTAAACGTTGATTATAATATAAAAGGAACAAAAATAAAACTGATAGTGATTTTAATAATAAGATCAAATCAAAAGACAATAAAAGTAGAAAATTTAAATCTTAATTTTGTATGCTTCATTCTAAACTGGGAAAATGGCTAAAAATACTAAATTGGAATATTATAATCTGATAATATTTTCAGTGCTTAAAGACTCCTATTTTATGAATCTTATATTTACTACTGATGGGTGAAGATTGATAAATTAGCAAATATTTAATTATATATACTTCGATTGTCATTCATTCAATCAGTAGCTTATTCAATGAATATTTATTAAACTTCCCTTATATTCCAGGACCTGGGGACACAACCCAAACCAAAAAAGTAAGGACCCTGCTCTCAAGGAGTTTACATTCCAGGGGCCTAATACAATCTGCTCTGACACTCCAAATACTTTAGTACATTTTCATGGGAAGCACTGACAGCAAAGACAGTAGTAAATAAGGGCATGATACGCTTCAGGCCTGGAATTTTTCAACTTTGGCTGTACTTCTGTGCAAAGGCCATTAGGTGTGCAATCTTACACAAGTTACTTAAACATTTTAACCTTATTTCCGCCTCTGTAAAAGAGGAACAGTAATAGCTGGGTTCTCCTGGAGATTAAATGAGATAATGTGCGCCGACTATTCAGCAATTATTAGTATTATCGCTTTGGCTCCATGGTTCCAAAAAAAAGTGCCTGCTCATTAGAATCACCTGGGGATATCTTTAAACTCTCAGACCACACACCAGGCCAATTAAACCCAATCTCTGAGGGTGGGACATAGGCGTCAGCATTTTTTGAGCTCCCCAGGTGTTTCCAATTTGCAGAAATTTGGGAACGGCTGCAGTTTAGCTTACTGATATGTCATAATAACATTTGCCCATCCACCTATCTTTACCAGAGATGGAACCAGGATGCCTCATGAGCGAATGAAAGCCAGATAACTAAGGTGCACATTTTTCTGTCTCATCTCGTGGCTCGCATCCAAATCTCTTCAAATCTCTTCAAGGGGAGAGGGATGGGAGGGAGTCCTGACCCCTGCTGCCTGCGCACAGCTGTTAAGGTTTAAGGAGACCCTTAGGTATATAGGGAGGGCTGACACTTCCACCTGCAGTGACTGCTGGGCCTGCCAGAGGAGAAGCCGAGAGCCGGGAAAACCAGCCCTTCCGGGGCGCTGGGCTCGGGACAGAGGCCGAAGACGCGCCGGGAGGGAAGACCGGCAGCTGGATCATCCCCTGGGGCCGTACAACGGCCTGGCCCGCGCGGCTCGGGTGGGCGCTGTCTGTGTGCGCGCTTTGCCCTTGCTCGCCCTCCCCGCTGCGACCCCAGCCTAGGGCAGGAGCAGAGCCCAGGCGCAGTGGCCCGGGGCGAGGAGGGCCCGCCCCGCCGCTCGCCGCCATGGAGTCATGGCCGCCTGGCGGCTCTGCTCCCGCGGAGGCCGGGCGTCGCCTGCGCGGCTTGCGCGGCGCCGACTTGGCGGCCTCGGCCTCCTTGCTGAGCGGGGCCGGGGCCGAAGCCGGGTGCAGCGCGCCGGCCGTGGCGGCCGTTTTGCCGGCGGGGGGGAGCGGGGAGAGGATGGGCGTCCCCACCCCGAAGCAGTTCTGCCCCATCCTGGAGAGGCCGCTCATCAGCTACACCCTGCAGGCCCTGGAGAGGTAAATGTGGCGCCAAGCGCGCCTTGCGGTCCCCGGGCCCCTGCTCCCCGCCCTCAAGCCCAGGGCAGCCCGCGCGCGGCACCTGCTCCAGTAGCTGTGCTCGCGCTGACACCCGCTCTCGGCGGACCGCGGGGCCGGACTCCACCCGCTCGGTCATTCCAGTTCGGGCTCCATTCCCGCTAGCCCTTCACGGAAGGGGAGCTCTGGCCCTTTAACAGATAGGCGCGGAGCCTGGGGCTGCCCCACGGAGCCCTTTACTGCTCCAGCCGCCGGCCTGTGGAGCTACCCTCAAGACTGAATGGGTTAGCGCGGGGGACGTTTAGTTCTAACCCCGGGGCCTGTGGGGACTAATGGGAAGCTGGTTTAGGAGTCTCCCTCTCCCATATTCTCTCTCACGCTCATTCTTTACTCTCAGCGGCTATCTCCGCGCATGCGTGGGTGATGAGTTGCAAATTAGATGAAAATCTAGTTGCAAACTAGATTTTACTTTCCAAGATAGTTTTATGGGCCTTTGGTCATTCTTTCTATCAACTGTTAACAAATATTAACTGAGTATCTTTTATGAGACATACTGTGCTAATTACTAGGTACTAAAGGTGGACCGAGAAGCAGGATTTAATCCAAACCTTTCCATGGTGGAAACGGATTTAAGGGCGCTAACTACATGCTGTATCTTCGAAAACGGACTAGCTGGGGAAATGGAAAAGGAATGGGATAAGGAGGACCAGGGGAGTAGTAGTGAGGATCGAAGGAGGTGAAAAGGAAGGGTATGTTATTTTAGCTTGCTTTTAGCCGTGTGTAATGGCTGGAGGGATGGGAAGCGGGGGGAGTACAAAGGTCCACATAGGTGTTGAAACTTATAGAGGCCAGTGTGGAGCTGTGGGAATATGTTTTCACGTGGATTGACATGAACCATTTGCTTTAGGAGGCTTTAATGAAGATGAAGCTAATGAGGTTCTAGTCAAAGGACAGTAGCATGTTATCCAGAAAACAGACCCCTACCTCCCACGCTTTCACACACCCCAGAAGCCAAAGGCCCCAGTTGCTTTGCATATGGTAATTTTTCCAAATGACACTATTCAGAAAGTAAGTGGAAGTGTAAAGACCCATAATCACCTTTGATTCGTGGCTGGTGGTTACATGTGAAACTCATACAAACATTGAAAGAGTTCCAGGTGCTTCTTTCGCTTCTGTAGTTTTCCATTTCTCTGAGTAGTTGATTCATGCTACTCCAATATTCCAGTGTCACAGATATTGTGACAACGTAGCTCATTTATGCAGGTAATATTAGGGGACACAATAGAGCTCGGCCAGCAGGATCTTTATTAAGCATTTAGATGTAAGGGAGTGCAGACGTTTCTACGTTGAGTTTTCCTTCGTATGGAAAAAAACGCCACAAAACTTCTGTATTTGCAGTTTTGCCTCTTCTGAGGCAGCAGGAGATAGGTGGATATTAAAAAATACCAATTTTAAAGTACAAGAATGTTCTGGAAAGGCCTTGTTGATGTAAAATAAGATGGAACACTTCTGTTTTTACTTAATTTGATCACAGCTGTAATAAAATCCTAATAGCAGTAGTAACTAATCAAAACCTCCATTTTGAAATACTTCCGGGATCATTCTTTGTAAACTATTACAATGCCTGAAGAATTTATGGAATATGGTTATTTTGGAGGATGTCTCAGGAAATCCTCGGAAACCTTGTATCACAGGGATGTATATACGGGTGCTTCTTAGCCATTTGCCAAATGTAAGCCCTTCTATTGGTAAAAGATGAGCTCCGTAGACTGCTGATAGTTTTCCTAGAGTGTGGTGCTAAAAGACCTAGGTCATTTCATCCCGAAAGATAAATTATGGAAGTTCCTGTCTTTTGGAACTGAGAGTCAATGTAAAAAACTTATGAGGATTTAGAAGGAGGTTACCCCTGAAGTTTGGCCCCAAAATGGGATAGGGAAATGCAAAAAAACATGACTAGTTTGGTTTTCAGTTAATGCCATGTGAACATTTATTTCTACTCATTGACTTACCTACGCAAAGCAAGTAAAAATGTATAGCCATACAAAGGAAACATGAAAGCAAAAGGAGGTGGGGCAGATAAGAGAACAATAAAGCTCTAGAAGAAAGGAGGTAGGGGAGTGGTAACCAGTCAGTTTTAACAGGCTCAAGGAAGCAGAAACGTGAGCCTTGAGGTAGAAGAGCTGTGATGGAAGCAAGTTGATTGCAGTCATAGAACCTTGGAAAGGCTCAGGAGTTAAAAGTACTAATTAAGGTAGGGTAGACAGAGAACAACTGTCTACAGCTGTAAAGGCAACTGGTTGAAACCTTCAAAAAAAAAACGGGCTCCCAGATCCCTGTCAGAACACTGGAGGCTTAGCCTCAGGCTCAGAACCAGCACAGCCAATGGCAGAGTGAAGTGCTCCATGGCCATAGAGAAATTAAGAGCCACATTCTCATTTTCGAATGAGATGCTTAGCACTTAAGGTAGACTCAAGGAAGTACTTTACTTTTCAAACGTGCTATGCATTAAAGCACCTGTCTTTGCATAACTGAGAAGTTGGAGGAGACATTGAGAGGTTTGTCTTGTGAATTGTCTGGGACTTCATATTGTTTTTCTGCTTTAGTTGAAATTGGAAAAATACACGTTTTTCTAGTTTAGCCCCAGTTTACTTGTGTGCCCTTGAAATTTCTTAAACTAATTATCAGATGAAATGAGATTTAAAAGAATCTCTGAACCCTCAAATCTTAAACATGTTGGCTAAAGGCTTTCGCTGGACCAATGGAGGCTCAAAGTCCATCTGAACTAGTTGTGTGTGGGTATATATTACAATTAGCTTTTATATGTGTAGAAGAATATATATGTTTATATGTTCACAAAGTATATTGAGAATATGCACTTTGTTCAGATCTGTGCATTACAGGCGTTATACTAAAAGGATCAAGTGTGACTAATTTGTAGGTTGTAGTAAGAACAGGTCTTCAGATGATGACTAAAAACATTTCTAGGAGTTTTAAAGTTTCATTTTGGCCTTTTAGGGGGAATTAAAATATAAATTGAACCACAGATTATAACTTGAAGAGAACTTTGATTTTTCTTATTTTGTTAACAAGGAACTGAGGTCAAGGGTATTAATCCTTCTCATAACGATTTATGACCTGAGTTTGCAAAAGGAAGCGTTGCTCTAAGAAATCATGTGGCAGTGGTATTATTGGCAGGGGCCTAAAGCTCTGACAGTTGGTTGTAAGATCTACTCGCAGTCGATCAACTGATATCTAAATTTTACTGGTTAAAAAAAAAAATATTCCCAGGTCTGAAATAGGAAGTAAAAATTCCTGCTGGCAGTCTAATTTCTGGCTTCAAATTTCTAGGGAAAGAAAGTGTTATTAAGGAGAGCTGGTTAACCTGGAATAGCTAAATAGACTCAAATGACAGCTACAATGAAAGCAAGTCACAGAGGCACACTTTGGCCATGCTTATTCAGACTCCTGGTGGCTGTGGACTAGGTGGGAATTTCCCTGACAATAGATTTGAACAAAGTCAGGCCCAGCCCTCTCCATAGCTCAGGAGGCTTCATGAGTTCTTGAGGACACTGCTTAAGATGTTTCTTGACAAGGTTCCATGCTCATCAAAACCTGTTATTATAAATTGGCTTCCCATAGAAATCTTTTATAGGAAGAAAATATGCTGTTGCATTGGTAAAGAACTTTGTGGACGTTGTGATAGTAATGTGTATCGTTGTATATTAATATGTTGGCATTCAAATTCATGTTTCGGAGCCTTTTTAGTTTGGTTAATGTGAGTTAGGCTCCTCGAGTCTGATAAATCCAGATGAAAAATTCATTTTGTCAATTTGTATGTTCTGGAAACCATGGATTTTGTGGTTGAGACTGGGTGGCTTTCTTATTATTTGTAAAAATCGATGAAAGTCCATTTTTAGTAACTGTTAAAGACTCCATGGTGTTTTTCAGTGGATTAACTTCTGACTTATTTGATCTTCTGAAAGTTTTCTTTTAATATTTTTTGTGTACTTAAAATTGTTCTGTCCTACAGTGTTTCTGAAAACCACTGCAAATTCTGTTAGAACAAGAGAATAGAAAGCATAAATGTTAATCGAAATGAGCAATATTGATTGCTTGAATTAAGCTGAAAGTAGGAATAGAGTAGGGAAGACAGGAGAAATATTTAGAAGATAGGAATTGGCAGTTTTTAGTGATTAATTATACTAAGGATTCAGAAAAAGAGATGAATTTAGGATGCTTTTGAGTGATTGCTTAGATATATGAATTTGACTTAAACATTTTGTCTGGATGCTTCATTAATAAAAGGGTTAAGTCTGAGTCAAGGGAAGGAAGAGGCCTGTATTGTAGAAGAAATAGAGTGGGACTGTGTTTTGCACAGGTCAGATGATTGGAGATTTCAGTTCCCATTGGCACCCCTGTGGCTACTGTGAGACGAGAGAAGACCAGGACTGGTAGTCTGGGCTTGACCAGTGGAAACCTTCATGGGCCATATTAAAGAGACTTGACATTGTCAAGGCAGTCAGGGGCCAGCCCCTTCACACCAATTCGGTATTTTCCTTCTAAAATATCAGGGTGTTTATGGAGAAGGAGGGATCTATAAATTATGGCCACATAATTTACAATCCCGAGGCCTAATTTCCATGACAACTGTCATGTAAGTGAGCCATAGCTGTCACTGTCTCTTGGGGCCAAACTTCTGCAGCCTGGGTGAGAGCAGTTAAGGAGTGTTAACAGCGCCTGATTTTTCCATCTGTTTTTATTTATTTATTTTAATATTTATTTATTTGGCTGCGCCGGATCTGTAGTTGCGGCGTGCAGGATCTAGTTTCCTGACCAGGGATCGAACCCGGGCCCCCTGCATTGGGAGTGTGGAGTCTTAACCGCTGGACCACCAGGGAAGTCCCTGCATCTGTTTTTTAAAAGCATTTGTTTAAATCTACTTTCAATTGATCTTGTTAAACTGAGCACAATATACCTGTAAG